TGGCTGCGCTTATTTTTATCCTGTCAGTCATCGCCCAACATGAGGGCAGCTCTGAGAGGGACTGCGTATTTTTTGGTTTTAAATTTTAAATACTTTTAATTTTGATATGAGTGTTTTCACCTCAGTGAACGCTCATGTGGTCAAGTGCAGAGATAATAAGGCAGGTGACCAATTCAGAGGTGATGCAGATGTAGTAACCCAGTCCTCCACTTTGGCAACTCCTTCCCAAGAAAAACACAGGTAATGCTCAGCATCAGCTGCTTTCCTTCTCTGGAACAGCTTGTTCAGAGAAGCCTGCATACACCTGTGAGCTGTTGCTTTAGTTCATGAGGATGGAGACAAAGATTTTGCACAGAGGAGCGATGTGTAAGTTGGTGCAATAAATCTCTGCTCCTGGAGAGCAGGAGGATGGAGCAGAGCAGTTGGTACATACTTTTTCTCTGCACACTCAGAGGATCCTGGAGGCATTTGGCAACCAATCTCCTGCTGATGCAATGCAGCCCTGTTCCTCTCAGGTTGCCAGAGCATAAAACAGGTCAGAAAATGGGTGCAAAGCCTCGAATGAGGAACACAGCTGAATTACTCATGCAGGAAGCTGAAAATGTTGTGCTGTTCCTTCTTCTCATACAGTGCTCACTCCTGTTTCCTCTGTTTTGGCATGTATTTGTCATGTAAGTTGTTTTCTACATTAAAAGCAAGAAGGATCACTAAATTTGTGCAGAACTGTGGCAGTGAGGGATATTTGAAGGGTCTGCACCACTGTGACTAAGGCTTGGACCTAAAAATTAACAGTATGACCACTACCATCATAATCTTTTCTCTTTAGGTACTCTTTGCTGTATGAGACTACTTGTGAAATTTAGGCTTTATGTGACTCCACATGGGCATGTTGCAGCAGTGTGAGCTCACTAGTGAAAGTGAACTGTCATTTACTAGCCACAATAAGGCAAGAACTATCTTGGAAGACCCGTTCCCCTGCCGTCCCAGGGGGTATTGCAGCATGATACCCTGGCAAGTAATAAAGAAAAACTGCAGCCCAAAGGTGTGAAACCATAGAACAAGTCTCTTACCTAGGGAAATCCTAGTTTGTTAAAAGTGAAATACTTCACACGTTCATTCACTGGTGTAAGGCAGAGGTGAAAGAGTAAAAGACATTCTCTTTTCTCAGACAGAAGTGAATTTTGGATGCTACAAATTACTTTCCTATGAGTGCCCTTTCTTGCAGACACTGCTACTCCTTCCTGTAATTAGACTGACTTTGTTTGCCAGATGTTCAGTGACAACATTATGCTGTTGTAGTCTGTTTTCCAGTTGCTTTATTTGTTTCTAGGGTAACTTTTTTTGCCTTGTCTTTCAGAGAGCAAATAGACAAAGGGAAAAAAAAATCCTTTACAAATGTTTCAAAGTGCAAAAACTCGGACAATGGATTTTTCCCCCCTTTCTCTGTCTAACTGAAACAATGAAAGTCCTGCACTTTAATCTTCTTAGCCCCAGGGGGTCTTCTAATTATTGCAGCTGTTGCACAGGCTTATACATACATGTCCTCCTTCCCATTCATCTTGGACGCTCTTTTATGTCCTTTGGCTCCTCACTGGAAATGGACGAGCCTTAAACTCTGAGAATAGGTGAAGTTTACCTTTTGGATCAGGGTGAGGAGAACAAAGCATTCCCCAAGTTCCTTCCCAGGATTTACAAATGACCAAAGGCATTTTCTCAGCACTGCAAAAGCTCCTTTAAATTGGCAGTCACATTAACTCTTTAGTCCTGCCTTACTCAGGTATTGCAGAGAGCCCACACATATGCCAGTCAAGAAAGGCAGTAATTGCTTCCAGCATGTAGGAAACAAGAGGCAAGGTAACTGGTTGCTGAGAAAGCATTCATATATTTAGGCATTCTGAAACTTAAAAAAAAAAAAGTGATTTCAGAGAAATATGTTGCTGTCTTGTGCTAACTCAGTGAACCTGTGGTTGTATGGAAAAGCAGCGCCTGGATGAAGTCATGCTACATCAGTTAAGCAAACTTGTGGGGAAAAAATATTACAGGCAATAAATCTAAATTTGTACAAAATATGTTTTAGTTATTATTAAAATGACAAACCAAATGAGTAAAGTGCTTAACATACTTGTGCATTTCTGGTTTGACTCTGAGTAATACTCAGTGTCAAATATTGTATATTATTGGTACAATAACCTTCAATCAGGCCAAGATGACCAGCTTGTGAATAATATTACAGGTTCATACTTACGATTCAGGGTAAACGTTTTATCCACTTCCATCGTGAGCTATGTAAAATTTGCCCGTTTCTTATGTCTAGACCCCAGGCACCAAGCAGTCAAGTGAACCTCATTTTTTTTATTTACTCTTGTACCACTGAATAGAGCTGTGCTGATTTACCCCATGAGTACCTGGCCCATGGTGTTGACCATGTTACTAAGTACCTAATAAATTAAAATAAATAATGCATACCACGGCTTAAAAAAATATATCTCCAAGTAATATTTTTATTATTTTAAGCCTTTAATTATTCCAAAAGCAATTAGTGATTGTTTTCTAACTTTTCATGTTGTAAGGTAGTGCTCTGTGATGGACAGGGGATAAGGGACTGTGTGGGTTGGGGTACACAAAGCCAAAATACTGCTATACACACACGTATGTAAGTACAGACATCCATATATAAATAAAGTTTTGCACAACTTAAGGCAAAACAAATGGTCCATAAATTTGCCTTCACCAGGCAATGGAGGATGCCCTACAACAGAGAAAGTACAGAACTACAGGAGCTGGAGAAGCTCTCCTTCTGACATTCCCTTTCAGTGTCTCCCACTGCAGAGAGTTTACATTAGTAAGAAAATGTTCTGGCTCGAGACCGTGGTGTAGCACGGAGGCCATCTGGAGCGGTGTGGCTCCATCCATACCATTATGTTCTTTTGGCTCCCAGGAGGGGATGAAGGTGCCCACTGGAAGTTGTTCCTGGGCTTTCCTAACTCCTCATGTTTGCCCAGAAATTGTTTGGAAGGGTGTTACGGGGCCAGGGCCAAGTCATGCATTGAGCTAGTCAAACAACTTAACAGTCTTGATGATGGAATTGCGGGCACCTGGAATATTTAATTTAAGAATATAAACATAGCCCTATTTTTTCAAGATGTATTCTTCACTTGCTATCTTTGCCAGTTTGACGCTTGGGTTCATCTGAAGCTGAAATTACATCGTTGCTTGGAAGAAGCACTATGCATTATGGATTCTGTCAGCAACTCTGAAAAATCATTTTATAGGGACTGTAGTGGTCTGTGAGGTTCCAGCTAGTGGCTGTAGCTGGTGTGTGGGTCCATACTGAATAACAAAATAGGGGGGTTCACAATGATTCCTCTTCTGTTTCCTGTTTCTCTGCCAGTAGCTTTGATGAAAATTGGTGTCTGATGATTGAAGTTTGCCTTACCTGTCTGTGAAATGTGTTCTGTTTTCATTTGAGAAACTATTGGCCATATTCAGACCTCTGATAATGGCACGGTTTTACTGACTTGGTCTGTAAGAGAAAAAAAAAATAAATTCTAAATACACTGGAACCTCTTGAATTACCACTTTACTAAGTTACCCATATTACTACTTAGTAGTAAATTAACAGACTTCTTCCATCTTTCTTCCACCTTTCAACAATGCTCTAATAACAAAAAGTTTTCATTAAATTCATTATTGCCACAATGCCACTATTTTTCTGGACCATATTACAGTATGTTATTTCCTCATCATGAAATACTGCAATAAAATAATTGGAAAAATGAAATAAAGATTTATTTCCCTGTTTTGTAGACATTCTGTGTAGTAGTTTATGATGTTAAAATGCTTTTGAATATTTTAAGAGTGGAATAAATAAGGTTAAAAGTTATTTTTCAGCCATCATCAGGAGGCATCCTTTTGATGCTAAACTGTAAGAGATACTAGTGATAGAGAGGAAAGTGATTTTGCCAGATGGGCTATATGTTTTCTGCCACCTCACAGTTGGCAGCCTTTATAGGTTGTTTTAGGTGTGCATGCACAGCTGTTACCGAATTCAGTGGGAATTGTATGTACATAGAAAACACAATGTATCTCCTCAACAGAACCTGTCTTAACCAAAACCATCTTAACTCTACCTCTGCCTCTCCAAACATCTGACATGTTCAAGCAACTTTGGAAATTGTCTAGATTCTTTCCAGAACCATAAGGGCCCCAAATAAAAGCAAGCTTTGTTTTGTCTGTTTCACTCGTACTGTGTGCAGGAAAACCTAGTTATGAAGAACTGACCACCAGACATATGTTTATAAATGTCACATTTGTAGTAAGTTTTGAAAGCATAGGAACAGACATGGGGGCCATAACCAACGATCAAAACTGTATCAGAAGCACAAATTGTTTGGTGTCGCCATTGGCCACGTGCCTCACTGCGGCTACCAGACCTCAAGGAATGCCCTTTTTCTTCTTGGCATTTCTGCATGCAGCAACTGCAGCTGGCTGCTTAGGAAAGTCTGGTTTTAATCTTGCCTTTTCTGATGACTAGATGTGCTTAGTCTTGCCTAATAGCACAGTTTGACTTGCAAGTGGATGGGCCAATAAGCCAATGCATCAGGTAGCACCCATAGCATACGTGCCATGCCTACAGTGCAGTTGGTTGACTAGTCATGGTGGCTGTGTGGTGCCATGGATGTACTTAGTGTGCAGTCTTCCTTTTGGTCATGATTTTCTGTAGCACACCGGTGAAAATACTTAGATGGTTTCATTACTTTTTCTGTGTACTCTGAGTATAATTCCAACTATTTTAACATAGGGTGTCATATAAATACTGGTAGCGGCCACTAGAGGGGGAGACATCATTTATATGATGGAATATCTTGTAGCCTTCTGGTGTTTGAATTGTACCCATCTGTTTTCAGCATTGTAACAATATGCAGGTAAAGTTACAATATAATGATGACTGCAGAAGTGATGTAAGATGTGTCAGTAATCTGAACTTGTTATCTTTTCAGGTGTTGTATTTCACTATCGTGCAGCAACCAGCAGGTACACTCTGAATTTTACACAAGCTCAGCAGACTTGTCTGGACAATGGTGCTGTCATAGCAAGCCCAGAGCAACTGAAAGCAGCCTATGAAGATGGATTTGAACAATGCGATGCTGGCTGGTTGTCTGACCAGACTGTTAGGTGAGATATTTAAAAGGCCCCTTGAGAGTGCTTCTCCAAATTAATATGCTTAGCCTGTACAGACATAATGTGCTGACTTGCTGTAATAATAAATATGAACATGCTGCATTTCAGGTATCCAATTAGACATCCAAGAATTGGCTGTTTTGGAGATAAAATGGGAAAAAAAGGAGTCAGAACATATGGGCGTCGTTTTCCTAATGAAACTTATGATGTGTATTGCTATGTGGAACACATGAAAGGTAAGATAGGTCCATATTTATTCTACATGACAGAATTCAGAGTGACTTGGGATTCTAAAGTGGAAGGGCAAATAAATAAGGAATTCTGTGTACAATGCAGTTTGACTGTTTTGAATCTGCAGAGGATTGCTGAATGTAGTGAACCTATAGTTTGTGGTATAGCAGGCCTTAATTAAAAGCCAATGTGGAGTGTACAAAGAGACAGTCAAGTTTAAAGCTGCTATAGTTAGTGACAGTAGATCTCACAAAAGTTCCTGTTGAAACATCTTATTTTTTTCAATGTTATAAAAGGATTTTCAAAGAAATGCATTAAATGTTTGAGAAGCTATATATATCATATATATATATAAAGATGGATAAAATACCTGTGCCAGTAACTGTATTATAGTACATAAGGTATGTAATTAAGGTTTTTAGATGTCCAGAACATAAAATTAGAAATATATTTAATTGCAATCCAAGTTTAATAATATCTCTTTGGAAAAGGGGCATCTCAGTGTCAAAAAAGAAACAATTAAGAACTTTCCATTGATGAGCAGGCATCTTTAGTGAAATTATTTGCAGTTCAATAGTATGATCATAGTCTTTGCCAAAGCTGCAAATTAAACAGCTCTAATGCAAAAGAGGGATTATGATCCTTCCACATGGTAACTACAAACCATGGATTGTGGTGTGAACCCTACAGTAACTCATGGTCCATGGTTAGATTCTGTGATCCATATTCATTCTGCAAAGAGTTGGATGGAAAAAAAAAAAAAAAGTATGATAAATTTCTCTGTGATTTGGCTGTTCTAGCATGCTCAAATCTTCATGTTACAGTTGTGATATTATATTCATTTCTTATAGACTCCCTTCTGAAGTGAATTTAACCTTATCCTTTCAGTGGGCCTATAGATATATTCCAAATACCAGATATCCTTATGCTTAGACATTACTGTGACAAGTTAAATATGTATACTTAAAATATAAGCATAGCAATATCCTTTCCTGTTCTGTAGCCTTTTTTTTTTTTTTTTTGGGTTTGTGCTGGTTATGTGCATGGGAACTTCACTCTGGTACAGAAATACTTTGCAACCAGGACCAAAGTATATCTTCCATTTACTGCAACAGTCTGAATATGTCACACTGCTTCTGTCTTGAGAGATTTGTATTCCATACCAGTTTCAATGTTCCTTTCTAAAAAATACTTGTAGTTACTAATTATAGGCTTTTTGAGCTGCTGCTTGACTGATACATTTAGTTTAGTGTTGAAGTCATTGGAACAATACAGTCAGCTATGGTTCTGAACAAGCTTGCCTTTGTATATGTACAAATGCAAAATTAAGGTGCTCAGTGTTTATTTGTATTCTATATTAGAGCAGAAATAAATTAGATCATGCAAAGTTTTCTGATGATATCTTTTAGAGACTTTAGTCACTGATATCAGTAAGCATTTTTCTGTTATATTTAGTAGTTGAGGATCTGTCCCAGACTATGTTTACTTTAAAGATTTCTCAAAGAAAAAAAAAAAAGCAAACACTGTTAAAACATTCAAGCTTAGAAACTGAAAATTAACCAATGGAATTTTGTTAGTGCTTAGTATTGTCTTAATTTTACTTATGCTCCATCTGTATCTGTCAGTGAACAGCATATACAAACACATAGAATTCATAACATTCATTACCTGTAAATCCTTGATGGAGTTGAATTCTGAATCAACTCCTGAATCAAGGCTTATAAATTCAATTTAGGTCTTTCCTATATTACAAAATCCAATTTTGACCTGGGCTGAAGACCAAATATGTTTTTCAAATAACAATCTTCCTTTCCCTCTTAAGTACAAAGAAGTATGATAATACGGAGAAGCTCATCCAGGATGCATTTGAGCCAGCAGTTTCTCAAAGTCAAATATTCTCACTGAGATTTAAAGAAAAAAAAAAAAAATAATTAAAAAAAAAGTCTTGGATGTGAATCTCTTAGCATTTATGAAAAGGCTTAAATTTAAGAATACAAGGGGGTTTGATCTATCAAACCACATAACAATAAGTATGCTCATTTTACCTTCTTCCTTGTGCTGTAGCTTGTGGAAAACTGTTTAAAGCAAATGCAGTTTTAGCCTTTGTCTTAAAGGTACTTCAGAGCCTGGGACAAGACTTTTAAAAACTGCTCTGACTTGAAGACTGCAGTTGAACACTTGATCCAACAAAGTTCTCCAACACAATTGCAAAGCACATTGTAGGGTAACAGCCTGTTCACAGAGATGGATACATGCTCAGAATGAAATTCTGCAGGAGGCAAAGATGCCTGCATGTTTATCTGTGGTCCTAAAAAATGCAAATTTTGTTTACCTAGCCTTTATCTAAATACTCTCAGAGTACAGATTTATAAAAATATTCCAGAATCTTTTCCACCAAACTAAGAAAAGAACACTCCATCTTACACTGGTACATATTGTACACCTCTTTTTTCTCTGAAAGGATTGTGAGATAGAAGTGTGATAAATGATGGCTGCATGTGTAGTTCATAGGTCCACAGAATGGTTTGGGTTGGAAGGGACCTTATCTTAAAGATCACTTAGTTCCAACCCTCCTGCCATGGGCAGGGACACTTCCCACTAGAGCAAGTTGCCCAAAGCCCCATCCAGCCTGGCCTTGGGCACTTCTAGGGATGGGGTTCCTCTTCAGCTCCCTCTTCAGCATTCTTGTAGGTCCCCTTTAGGTACTGGTAGACTGCTATAAGGTCCTTCTGGAGCTTTCTTTTCTTTGAACTGGACAACCCTAACTCCCTCAGCATAGGAGAGGTGCTCCAGCCCTCTAATCATCTTCTTGTCCCTCATCTGGACCCCCTCTATGTCCTTCTTGTGCTGGGGGCCCCAGAGTTTAACACAGCACTCCAGGTGAGGTCTCACAGGAGCAGAGGGGGAGAATCAGCTGCTTTTGGTGCAGCCCAGGGTACAGTTGGCTTTCTGAGCTGTAAATGCACACTTCTGGCTCATAGTGAGCTTCTTGTCACCCACAGCCTCCAGGTCCTGCTCTTCAGAACTGCTCTCAATCCTTTCTCTGCCCAGCCTGTGTTTGTGCTTGGGATTGCCTCGGCTCAGGTGCAGGACCTTTCATGTGGCCTTGTTGAACTCCATGAGGTTTGTACAGGCCCATCTCTCAGGCCTGCCCTGGGCCCTCTGGATGGCATCCCTTCCCTCCAGCGTGTTGACCACACCACACAGCTTGGTGTCATCAGCAAACCTGCTGTGGGTGCATTCAAGCCCACTTCCCATGTCACTGATAAATGTGTTAATTAATACCAGCCCCAATACCAGCACTTGAGGAACACCACTCATCACTGGTCTCCACCTGGACATCAATTGCAATTCTTTGAGTGCAACCATCCAGCCAATTCCTTATCCACTGAGTGGTCCATCTGTCATATCCATGTCCCTCCAATTTAGAGACAAGGATGTTGTATGGGACAGTGTCAAATGCTTTGCACAAGTCCAGGTAGATGACATCAGTTGCTCTGCCCATATCAACCTACACTATAACCCCATGGTAGAAGGCCACCAGCTTTGTCAGCCACAATCTGCCATTAGTGAAGCCATGTTAGCTGTCACTGATCTCCTCCTTATTTTCCATGTGCCTTTGCATAGTTTCCAGGAAGATCTGCTCCATGATCTCTATAGGGACAGAGGTGATAATGACCAGCCTTTACTTCCTCACATTTTCCTTTTTTCCTCTTTTAAATATGGGCATAATATTCCCCTTTTCCAGTCCAGAATGTCACCAGACTGCCACAACTTCTTAAATATGATGGATAATGTGTTAGCAACTTTAGGAACTTATCTTTATTTGCTTCCACAGTCTGTAGGCTTCCTTTTTTGTGTTTGAGTTTGACCAGGAGCTCTTTGTTCATCCATTGTGGGCCTCCTCCATTTTTGCCTCACTTCCTCTTTGTTGGGATGCATTACTCCTGAGTTTGTAGAAGGTGATCCTTGAATATTATCCAGCTTTCTTGGATATCTGTTCCCTCTAGGGCTTTACCCCATGGCACTCTATCAAGCAGATTGCTGAAGAGGCCACAGTCTGCTCTAACAAAGTCCACAGTACTGAGCTTACTGTGTGCACTCCTTTCTACCCTAAAGGTCTTGAATTACACCATTTTGTAGTCCCTGTAACCAAAGCTGCCCTTGAGATTTACATTCCACACCAGCCCTTCCTTGTTGGTGAGAATGAGGTCCAGCATAGCACCTCTGCTCATTTACTCCTCTACCACTTGGAGACGGAATCTGTCATCAACTCAGTCCAGGAACCTCCTGGATTGCTTATGCCCTGTTGTGTTGTCCCTCCAACAGATATCAGGAAAGTTGAAGTCTCCCATGAGGACCAAATGGTCATGGAACTGTCTCACTTGCTGGGTTGTGTTGGTCATGTCCATAGATAATGGTATTGCTACTAGAAGCACTTTACTGTGGTAATAAGGTGAACCTGAGAAGAGAGGAGAATTTCTTCTAAGTCAGTTATGGTTTTACCAACGACATCAAGAAAGTAGAGTCAGGCCAACGCTGAGCGTATTATTTCTAATGTGCTCATCTTTAAGCTCTCTGTGTAACAGTAAAGCCCTTTATGTGGATGGGTGACCATGGTGGAAGAGATAGTTGCCAATTAGCTATAAAACCTCAGCCCACTGTAAAGCGATTTTGTTGCTTCTGTCAGTCAGTTTTAATGCTGGATTATTTCAATAGCTAACCAAGTATTTCTTTCTTTCCTTCTTTCTTTCTTTCTTTCTTTCTTTCTTTCTTTCTTTCTTTCTTTCTTTCTTTCTTTCTTTCTTTCTTTCTTTCTTTCTTTCTTTCTTTCTTTCTTTCTTTCTTTCTTTCATTTGTTCGTTCTTTCGTTCTTTCTTTTGTTCGTTTTTTTGTTCATTCTTTCGTTCATTCTTTCATTCGTTCTTTTGTTCGTTCTTTCTTTCTTTTGTTTGTTCTTTCATTCTTTTGTTCATTCTTTCTTTCTCTCTCTCTTTCTCTCTCT